ATGTATGTATGTATGTATGTGTGCTACCATGGTTGAAGACCCTGAGGAGCACTATATCTCACTATGTTTCACAGATGGGTGACCAGTGCCATCCTGCATCTCAAGATGTTCTCAAAAGAAAACTCCTGGAGCTGAGATGGAGGCCATTGCGCGCCATCTGAGGTGCTGGCTGTGTGGCGGGACCAGGCTTACGTGGCAGAATGAATCGCATGGGCAGGGCCACAAGGAGATGCGCACCCACCCATTGGCAAAGAGTTAAAGATACAGTGATTTAGACCCACTTATCTTTGAGTGTGACCAAATTTCCAGTGGTAGTTTGAAGAAATGAATCCCATCAGAATTGTGGAAGGTACGTGCATGTCAGAATGAGAGAATGAGGGGCTCAGTCACAATTCTTGATTCAGCAGGCACAGCAACTAGCCTACTCACCAAATGTGTTTGTTCCTCAGCAAGTGGCAATTGTCATTTGGGTTCTCCCCCCACGGGATTCCAGTCTACAACAATCACAACGGTTCGCTCCGGCGAGCCTCGACTGGAATTCTTCGTGGCGGGAAGGTGACGTGTCCTCTTCAAGCATTGGGTGCTTCTTGTTCTTGATACCTTGATACTGTAGATATGTTCTTGTTGTGCAGCTATTAGACTAGTCTCATGTTGTGCACTCAGCAGCGAACTGGTGGTATCTTGTAGGAGTCTGGGCTCCCACGCCCTGGCGTCCGACGTCTCCATGCCCTGTGGAGGCTCCCGTGGAGCATGTTGGCCTTACGAAGTCGTCGAGGGCCATGACCACTGGGCTTCCTGCCAGCAGGGAGTGCGACAAACGAGCAAAGATGTGCGGAAGTTTCGATATGGCTGTGGCTCGCAATGAGACCTTCATACAGATTATTGGATAGACATGCAAGTCTTAGCCTTGCCAGTAGATCTTGGGGGTGTGCCCAAAATGCTTTGAGCCATGCCCAGATCGAGAGGCTGGCATTGGATGCATCACTTAAGTGCTCACGTTGCTTCTCCCAGGTTGACGGGAATGCAGACTCGGTTTGCTTTTGAGTTCTTCCCGAGGAAGACTACTTGTTGTATGTCATGAAGAATGACTCCGCGCCTTTGACCAATTCAGATGGCCCGCTTGTGATGCCCATGCGGTTGGGGCTCAAGGAGGCTCAAGGTTTCAAGGACGAAATGCAGAAGTCTTGGGTCCGTGGAAAGAATTTCTGACCAGTTCTCCGAACCCACGAGGTGGTGCGCCAGTTCGAAGCGGTGGTGGAGCTCGCGAGGGAGCCCGATCCACTGCTGCTCTACGGCGCGGTAGGAGGCGCAGGGAGGAAGGTGGAGGACGATAGTGAGGACTTGATTGGTGAGGACTCTATATTGAGGACCTTGGTTTATCCCAATAGCTCCAGCTGGTTTGAAGAAGTTCTCCAAACCAAGCGTCACTTTCCAAGGACTGCCTGGGCAAAGTGCATGATAGATGTTGCACCCGGATCGACCTTTGGAACATTGGAAGACCCGCTTGAACCGCCGCACCTCGGGTCCTCGGGTCCTTTCTGCACACTGCCGAATCATTGACTCATTATGGCGTAGTATGCCTCAGATCTTTGATTTCTATTGATCTCAGATGATTGATCTATGAACGATATTGATGATCATCATTGACTCTGTGAACGATATCTCTGAAGAAATCTCCGATGTTGGCATTCCTACAGAGAAAGGAACGCGGGTTGATGGATGAAGCTTACATTGCACCAGCTCATTGGGACACAACTAACCATGTTTTTGTAGTGCATTCAGCATGTAGCATGGTGTTGCAGGACAGTCCATGGCGGCTCTTCGGTCAGGCCGTGGCCCCTTCGAAAGTGGCAAGTTGTGCCCACCCTGTGGGGATTTGCAGCGGCAAAAGCTGGAGCAAGCGCAGCTCTTGCTGGTGGAGGCAGTGCAGATGCGTCATGTTGACTGATAAAGCACCCCTTGTGAAGGTGTAAACCATTCTGGGGGACTTTAAATCCCGTAGGCTGCATGCAACTGAGTGCTTTGCAGGATGTTTCTTTTACCAAATTATTCCATGCCCGTTGGCCCGAGGCTATCATAATCTATATCACCAAGCATGCTGCAAGCCACATCCCGGTCATATCCCCATGTCGATCCTTCGGAGTGGATCGGAGATAACACCTGAAGGATCTCGTCCGTCGTCCAGAAATCAATCCTTTCTTTTCTTCCATGGTTTTCTCTTTGAACACTCTCCACTCGGGCAGGAAGAGCTCTCCTTAATGCTTTTCGCTGAGAACTTCCCAAGGCTTGGGAGGAGGGCTGACGACGACGACTCCTTAAAGCCTCCGGCAACAAGGATTCAGACAGACAACCCACTGGTTGTGAGGATCCCGTTCTATCTTGTTACTTCTTAGGTCAAATTGGTCATCTAGAGGATGATTTGTCAAATCCCATTCTGCTTAGTAGCTCAAGATGAAAAGCCTATGACCCATGAAGTCCCGAGAGCACAAGGGAAGAACATGTTTGGAGCTTGGTAAGGCTTTTATAATCTTTTATATAGATGACGGCGTGTTTTGAGGCCTCCTCGTTCGAGAGAAATACATGAAGGCCCAGTGAGATTTTGGGATGAGCCAAGATGTACCACAGGCGCTTGCCATGGCCAGAGCAACACCATCCCGGCTTCGGGTGTTTGTAACGTGGGGTTGTCACCTAACATCACTGCTCACCATTCGAGAGGCCTTCATTTTGATCATTTTGGGGGGGTTCGCCAGGTGTTTCACTTATCGTTTGTTTGTGCGCTTGCGGTTTGCAAAGATCTAGAGAGTAAAAACAGACTAGACAACGAGTGCTGTGCTGGGTTTGCTTTAGGGACCTGGTACTCTTTGGGCCACAGATAGACGTCTCCCTCACAGGCTGCCAGACAGACCTTGTTGAACTCTTGGACCTCCCTCTTTTCGCAGGAGCACGCCGGATGCGAGGCTTCGGGAACTGTGGAGCCATGTTTTTTTCAGCCCAAGATGCAATGTTGCCAGATGGGAGATTAGGTGCTCTTCACAAAAGGACCAAGGGATGTTTTGAAACTATTTTAAACAATAGGCTACTAGTAACAAGTGCATCGCTTCTAGTAACAAGTGCCGTACTAGTAGTAACAAGAAGCTAGTAGTAATTAAGTTTCATTAGAATTCAATTTAATTCTAATAGGACCAAGGGGTGGTTCGAAACCTTACTTTCAAGGTCATTGACTTGATTTGTAGCTGCTTCACGGATTGATGTTCTACTCAGCCAGTGCAGCGCGAACTACCAGAGCAATTCGCGGCATTCGGCGGAGCTAGCCCGATTGTGGTTTAATATGTGTGTTGGTTTTTCCATGTGTTTTCAATTTATGGTGAGCAAGAAGTGTATGATTGAAACATGCATTAACAACATGTAACATGTGTGCATGCATCTACTGATCGATTCAGTGCTGTGCATGCTGTGTCCCCAAGCAGAAAGGACCCGGAGCCGACCCGAAGCGATTGCTTCGCCGCGGGTCGTTGGTGGTCCGACAGGACTCTCGAAGCTGCTGATTCATTGCAGCTTGCTGACCAGTAAATTTATGTGAAATCTCTTCTGGTTTTTGAAAGGGGCCTAGCAAGCGTATGCTGGAGTCGCTGGAGATGAAGACTATTGCATCTAATGCATTGAAGACAGCAAACATGTTCACGTTTGCTTGTGCAATGAACCTTTGGAACACTTTCTTGTCATACTTTTCGGAGGTTATTAAAGTCTCATCGAGAATGTCCCGTTTCCCGACAGCCTTCGATTCAAGAGTTTTCTGGAATACGACGAATATGTTCCAACGGATACCATTGGCTGATATTGAATTGGCTGTGCACTGTTTTGCATCTATTTTATTTGTCTATTGCCAGGTGCAGGTCCTCCTGTGTATTTTCTGATTTGTTTGGGGTCCGCCCTGATTAACTGGTTGCTTCCCACCCTCAAAAGAAGTAATCAAGAAATATATAGAATAATGGTTGATTAGATATATACTGCAAGGTAGGTCATTTAAATGAACACTATTAATCAGACTAGGTCCTACTAAGGTCATTCTGAAGGCATTGAATATTAACAAAAACATGTCCAGAAACATGGTACCGCTGCACCCAAAGGGTCGAACTTTGCTAGGCCTCCCAGCAGACCGAGCTCACGCCTGGTGGAGGTGCGGAAGCGGCCAGTCCTGCCGGCACTCCATATCAGATCAAGAGGATCAAGAGGCACAAAGAGATCCAGACCTGAAGCACTCGATGTTCTCAGCACTGCCTGGTTTCCTGAATTGTCCAGGCCTCTCATTACTACAACTCACTTGTCTCAGTTGTGTCACATTGTGTTTTTACAGGCAGTGGTTCTGGCATTGAAGTGAATTGCGAATGGCTGTCAAAAGAAAACACAGCACTGGTCCTTGGTGTCTTATTGGGTGGATCTAGTTTAGTTGCTTATAATGTGAGGAATCAGCAGCTGCAAAGAGCTGTGCAATGAACAGGCCTTGGAAAATGATTGGCCACACAAGAGGCAGGCACAATTTTTGTAAATAGGTGCATGACAGGATACGAGAAGATCATGTTTGCTCCTTGTTTCTCGTAACCTACGGGAAGATGGTGTAGCTGAACACCTCATATATATAATATATATTGGCTGGCCTCCATGTTTGCATGTACAGCCCATAAATACTCCGCTAGAGTACTGCAGACACGTGACTCATGACGTGTTTTGGCTCAAGGTGAAAAGGCGTTCCGAAACGTCGAAACCTCGTTTTCATGGTAGCGAAAGGGTCCGGTGAGAGTGACAGGGACCGAGCACTCCGCCTAAAGGAAGAAAGACACAGTAAAGTCGAGAGCTCCGAGGAGGAGGAGCTGGGATCCTCGGGAGCGGCAGCTTCTGCCGCCCCGAGTGGAAAAGAAGAAGAAAGGAAAGGAAAAGAGGAGGAGAAAGAGCCTTTGCCAGCCACATCAGCGGCGGATCCAGCCGCAAGCACCACTCCAGCGGTTGAGAAGACCGCAGAAACAACTTCAGCGGTTGAAAGGACCGCAGAAACAAAAGAAGAGGGGCCGGAGATCGGACGAACCGTCCGCAGCTGAAAAGGTGCGAGAGCAGCGCCTTCAGGGGCTGAGATTGGGAAACCATGGCATTGGAACAGCAGATCCAACAGTTGTCTGATATGGTTTTGCAACTCCAGCAAAACCAGGCACGTTTGGAACAAGAGAACCAGGTATTGAGAGAATCCCAAGGTGGGGTATCGATGTTGGCTTCAGCAGTAGGAGAACTGGCTAAGAGCCTTGAGAAAAAGGAAGATAGACGAAAGTCCCAAATACTTATGGACACCAAAGGTTTGGGACGCCCTGAGAGTTTTGGGAATGTTGAAGGGGATTTCCGAAAGTGGGCCAGGTGCATTGACAACCTGTTCATAACTACCTTTGGGAGAGAGTTCATTGAAGTTCTTGAGTATATTTTGGAGCAGGAAGACGCGATTGAAATGAGTGCTATGGAGTCCGCGTTTGGGACTGGTACCATAGCAGCTATCGATGATCTAGAGGATAAAGCTGATCAAATTCATCGCGTCCTCCTGACCCTGACCTCAGGTGAAACAGAGGATTTGATGGTAGGAGCTTCGAATGGATTTGAAGCATATCGACGGGTTCACCGTCGTTGGGATCCCCGAACCTCGGGACGGAAGCGCAATATACTTCGAGCAATTCTCCAACCTGAACGAGTCAAAACGTGGTCCGCGGTGAGGCCAGCGATCGAACAGCTCGAAGAACTCATCAGGCGGTACGAGTCCCGGAGGAGTGCCGCAGGAATAAGGGAGACTCTATCGGACGACATCAAGTCCGCTTCATTGGAGATGCTGGTACCCCCAGATTTGGAGAAACATCTTTTGTTGAACAAGAGTAGATTGACAACCTATTCATTGATCAAACAGGAGATTGAACTTGTCATTGAATCATCTCTCACATCAAAGTCATCTGTTCCAAAACCAGGTTCATCGAGTTCTAGTTATCAAGGACCTCAACCCATGGACGTCGATTCGATCGGACAATGGATTGCAAGCCTGGTCAAAGGAAAAGGTAAAGGAAAAGGTAAACAGGTCAAAGGTGATGGAAAGAAAGGCTCAAGAAAAGGAGGTTCAAGTAAAGGCTCAAGTACGGCTCAAGATATCACCTGCTACAATTGCGGTAAGAAGGGACACCGAGCAGCCGATTGCTGGAGCAAGAAACGGCCGGATGGAAAAGGCGATAAATGGTCAGGTTCAGGCAAATGAGATAGGAGTGGCAAAGGTGGCAAAGGCAGTAAAGGCAAAGGTGGAAAAGGCGGCAAAGGTAAAGCCGCAGGAAGTATGGAAGAGATGGACGATCCGGATGATGGCATTGAGCCAGCTCCGGAGGCAGATGTCGGAATGCTCATGGCAGACTTGAGTGGAATTGGAATAGCGGATACTTCATCCGCCGAAGAATGGATGAAGTTTAACCTGGACACTGGAGCAGCCCAGACAGCCATCCCAAATGGCTGGGAGGACCGAGTGGTTGTGAAGGCAACGGGGTTGTTTTCAAGACTGCATCAGGAGAGTTGGTGCCCAGTCAGGGCATTGGAACCTTTGAGGGGTTCGACGAGAGCGGCAACAAATGCCGTGTGAAAGGCTCAATGGCCGATGTTCACAAGCCATGAATTTCAGCATCCAAGTGCTTAGGCTTTGGAAGGATTGCAGTTCTTGATGTGAATGGCGGAAACTTGATTCCGCAAGGGTCCAAAGTTGGAAAGGCTGTTCAGGCGATCCTGGAGAAAGCGAGCGCTGCAGAGCAGCGAAGTTGGATCCCTGTGTACCAAGAGCAGGGAGTGTACAACTTCTACTTGAGAAAGCCAGGGTATAAACCGACCAAGGAATGCTGTGGCATTGCAGAGTTGAACGCCGCAGGAGAAAGAGGAGATGCCTCTATGGATTCAGGCCGACCTGGTCCAGAGGGGCGAGAAGAGGATGATGAGTTGGAATTAGTTGATGAGATTGAGAAACCCATCCAGATAAGAGCACCGGAGGATCCAACTCCGGCTGAGATCGAAGAGCACGAGGCGACAGGCCATGTGCAGTATCGGAATTGGTGCCGGCATTGTATTGCTGGACGGGCTGTAGGACAGCCGCATCGGACGAGGTCCGAGGAACAGAAGGCAAAGAGCCTTGTGCCCACAGTGGCAATGGACTATACGTTCATGTCACGAGGCGGTGTGGAGGACGAGCGAGTAAAGCCGATCCTCGTGGTGAAAGATGAGAGGACACAGTCCTTAGCGGCGACCTTCGTGGACTCGAAGGGAGCAACGCCGTATGCAGTGAAGTTCGTGGCGAACTTCTTGAAGAACTTGGGACACCGCAGGGTGGTTCTCAAGTTGGATGGCGAGCCATCCGTGGTAGCCTTGAAAGAGGCAGCAGCGAAAGAAACCGGCATAGACTGGGTTTCGGAAGAGTCGCCAGTAGGAGACCATCAAGCGAATGGTCTGGCAGAGAACGCCTGCAAGGACTCAAACGTCAAGTACGAGTCCTCCGCAGCGCGTTGGAAGAGAAGCTCGGTAGAGAGCTCAAAGATGATGATCCTGCATTGGCATGGCTGCCAAGGCAGGCGGGAGACCTGTTGAGCAGGTACAAAAAAGGTCAAGATGGCAGAACGCCTGAGGCCAGAAGATGTGGAAAGCAGTGGCGGAAACCCGCCATAGCTTTTGGTGAACGCCTATACTTTAGAGAAGTAGGCGAGGGAGTTCGCATCCTGAAAGAAGGACGCTATGTGGGTCACCATGGCCGAACAGGATCCATTTTGGTAATGACGGCCGATGGCGTGCGCAGAGGCACAGGAATCCGGCGGCTGAGTTCAGCCGACCGCTGGGACCCAAGCGATTGGGACCTTTTGCGGGGCTTACCGTGGGAGCGCTCCGCGGCAAGGCCTGCCGGTGAGCAACCACCACAACAGAGGCGAGTGTACATCAGGAGAGAAGATGTGCACAAGCATGGAGCCACAGAAGGCTGCCCAGGATGCAAGTGCATCTTGGAAGACAAGAGGACGACCTTGCCGCACACAGAGGCGTGCAGAGCAAGGATCACCGAAGCAATGGAAAAGGATGAAGCTGGGCAAGCGAGACTTGAAGCCCATGCAAAGAAGAGGAAAGAACGGCAACAGCTTGACACTGTGAAGCCGAAAGTCGTGGCCGACAAGGACACCGACATCACGGCCGAAGACGCGGCCGGAGAACCAGAGAAGAAAGAAGAAGCAAAGAGCGCGGGATCGGGAAGCCCGCCGCCAACAGCGGCGGAGGGTGAGAAGACCTATCCCGATGACCCGAAAGAGAGATATGAGATGAAGAGGCAAGCAGCCGAGATAGAGAAGAAACCAGTGGCGAAAGCCAAGGTAGCAACAGAGCCCAAGAAGAGAACAGGAGAACTTGGAATAGATCCACCCGGGGCAAAGGTCAAGCCGAATCCAGCCCAAGGAACAAAGAGGACGGCAGAGACTGCCGTAGAAGACCTTGATCCCAGAGTGGAAGAGAGTCCAAAGAAAACGTCTCAGTTTTCCCAGTTTTCCCATGTTCCAGAAACACCACCAGCAGGGTGGAAGCCAGATGCAGCAAGCTTGGTAAAAGAGAAGGAGATCGCAAAGCAGCATCTGAAGAAGATCATTCAAGGAACCTATGAGGCGAATGGCATCGAGATCACTGAGCAAGAGATCGGAGACATCGCGCATTTGAGTATGCAGATGTCAGCAGTAGATGTCATGGAAATCTACTCGCCCAAGAGGTTCACCGCGCTTGCAGAGCGGTACAAGTTGCGACCGGGTTTTGCGATCGACTTGAATGAAATGAAGAAAGATGGAACATACTGGGACTTGAACAAGTCCGAAGACGTCCAGGAGGTGCACGACATCTTAGAGAGAGACGAACCGGCTCTCTTGACTGGTTCGCCTCCATGCCATATGTTCTCACAGCTCCAGAATCTAAACTGGAGGAACATGGCGCCAGATGTCAGGAGGAAGAAAATGGACGAAGCCGTCCATCACCTTCATACGAGCGTAGAGCTGTATGTCAAGCAGCATCGCTCTGGACGCAAATTCCTCCATGAGGCACCATGGGCCGCGACCAGCTGGAAAGATGAGAAGGTTGAGGCCTTAGCAAAAGAAGATGGAGTGTTTGTGGTGAAAGGTCCAATGTGCAGGTGGCAGATGATGGCACCGACCGAAGAGGACTCCAAGGCACCGGCTATGTGAGAAAGGAGACCGGCGGTTGGATGACCAACGATGAAGGGTTGGCCCGAGTCTTGCAAGGAGTCTGCTCGAATGAATCGGGCAAAGGACCATGGCACCGACACATCCATCTGATCGGAGGCATTGCTAGGCAGGCAGCGGTATACCCACCGCAGCTTGTGAAAGCAGTGCTGAGGAGCCTGCGTGACACACTAGCAGAGAAAGGTGAGTTGAACACCTTCGACCTGTTCGCAGCAGGCCCAGTTCCAGAGATGCCTCTGATGGACCCAGAGTTCGAAGAGGTCTACATGGATGATGTTAACGGCGGCATTTTGCCAGCCGAGAAAGTGAAGGAGGCAAGACGCCTTGAGATGGACTACTTGAGAGAGAAGCATGGCGTTTATGTGCCCCGGCCGAGAGCCGAATGTTTTGAGGAAACGGGGAAGCCCCCGATTCCAGTCAGATGGTTGGACACCAACAAGGGAGATCCAACAAACCCGAACTACAGGAGCCGATTAGTTGTGCGTGAGATAAAGGCAAGAAAGACCAAAGAAGAACAATTGCCAGCCAACTTGCTTTTCAGCAGCACGCCCCCACTAGAGGCGATGAGACTGCTATGCTCGTTGTGGGCAACAAAGAGAAAGTCTTGCCACAACCAGCCGCTGAAGCTGGGCTTGTGGGACATCTCACGAGCACACTTTTATGGAACTCCGAAGAGAAAGATCTACATAGAGCTGCCGCCTGAGGACGAGGCCAGCAAAGATGGACAAACCTGTGGACTTCTCGTGAAGTCGATGTATGGGACACAGGACGCTCCAAATATCTGGCAGATGCACTACACAGAGACTCTGCAGAAGGCTGGTTTCCGCAGAGGGTTGTCAAATGCGTCAGTCTTCTACCAAGAAGCTTGGGACGTCAGAGTGATGGTGCATGGAGATGACTTCCTAGCACTTGGAGACGCCCAACACTTGGAGAAGCTCAGCCAAGTCCTCAAAGATGCCTATGAGCTGAAATGTTTCGGAATTCTTGGAGACGAGTATGGAGACCGAACAGAAGCCCATTTTCTGAATCGGTTGATCCGAGTCGAAAAGAAGAACGGTAAAGGATCGATTGTGATCGAAGCCGATCGGAGACATGTTGATCTTTTGATCCAGGCATTTGGCCTGGAAAAGGCAAATGGTGTGGAATCACCAGATGTCAAGAAGTCGGCAGATCAGCAGATGCTGGAACGCCGCAGTCCGCTGCTTGATAAGAGCGAGGCATCGAAGTATCGTTCAGCTACGATGCGTGCTGCGTATCTGTCCCAAGATCGACTCGATATTGGACACGCAGTCAAGAACCTTGCTCGAGGTATGGTGTCGCCGACAGAAGCCAAACTTGCAGACTTGAAACGTCTCATCAGGTACTTGAAGAAATACCCTGATGTTGGGCAATGTTTTGGCTCACAACAGGCACCCTCGAGGCTGAGGGTCCAGGTCGACGCTGACCACGGTGGAGATGCTGTGACACGCAAAAGCACGACTGGCATGGTTGCCATTTATGGTACACACGTGCTGAAACACGGCAGTAACATCCAATCCACCATAGCCCTTTCCACAGGCGAGAGCGAATACTACGCACTCGTGAAGGGCGGATCTGTAGGCTTAGGACTCCAAAGCCTATGCGCAGATCTTGGTTTGGATTTGGAAGTCACCATAGAAGGCGATTCCAACGCAGCCAAAGGAACTGTCAACCGAGTGGGTTTGGGTAAAGCCAGACACATCCAAACTCGTTACCTATGGTTGCAAGAAAGGGTTGCCGAAGGCCACTTGAAAGTGCACCACGTTCCAGGTGTCAAGAACAAAGCCGATGTGTTGACCAAATCGGTTCCTGGGGTGCAACTTCGCAAAACTATGGAGGACCTGCAGTATGCATTCCTCAGCAAGCGAAGCAAAGGACAGTTTGATGTTTTGGAGTAAGGTCCCTGGCCAAGCTCCACTACCACAACTGAAAGTGGCTCAGCAGCGGGAAGTTTCACATACTTTCTTTAAGCTTGCGCAGCAGTACAGTGCTTTGCAAGAGGAGGAGTGTTTGCATGTACAGCCCATAAATACTCCGCTAGAGTACTGTAGACACGTGACTCATGACGTGTGTTGGCTCAAGGTGAAAAGGCGTTCCGAAACGTCGAAACCTCGTTTTCACTCCATGGCCTCCACCCTAGTAAACCCTAGTAGCGATGTGAAACACCTCTATTTCTATTGGAACCATGGGCTTTTCGGGTTCTCTTCGAACGAGCTCGAGCTCCTCTCTCAGCTCCAGGAGCTGGCTGCACCACTGGAACTCTCCCAAGCTCCGGACCGGGCGGCCGCGGGGGGAGTGAGTTCCACGCAACGGTTCCAAGCATCGATCGTCCCGGGGGTGAACACATGGGCTATACATCCACCTAATTAGAAGCTAAGCAAGGTCGTTAGAAGCTAGCGAGGTCCCTTGTTTTTTCCCCCTGTAGCCCTTGTCTATAGGGGATATCCTTGGATCATGTTGTTGGAACACATCTTCCAGGCTTCCTTTGTTCAACACGGTCGACAGTTTTGACACTTGGAACCTTTTATAACTCCACAACATCGTGGGTGTTAGCTGTGATTGCACTTTTTTTCCGACTAGTGCCATTGAGATGGGAAACCAGGATAACAGGACTCATGTTGGTTTAAGGAGTGTAGTTTCTTCTCAATTGGGATCATTGCTATCTAAGGGCGTCCCTCTCATTAAACAGCTTTCAATCCAGGGTCAACATTATAAGGAAGGAATTACACACCAACCGACGTAGCGCCTTTGATCATCGGGTACAAGAAAAGCATCAGCCAGTGTTTTGTTTATTTTTATTTACAGTTCTTGTTATTTGCTGTGTCGCTGGCATGTTGAATAGATGTCGTGGCATGGTGCAAAAGGAGCTTCCAGCCTGGCCTAGTCAAGCACTTTGCTCGTCGTGCTTGAGGTTCAGATCCATGAGCGAAGTGCTTGACTATAGGCACCAAATTTCCGCTTTTCGCTGGTACCCTTCGCTCGGTGCCTCCAGGACAGTCCGGTGCCGCCCCGACCTCCTAGCCGACCCCGCAGGGGACTTCAGATGGGTCCGGATTTGATACGCCAAAGACACTGGAAGACGACGCATTCTTGCCTTGAAGCCCCATTGCAGTTGCACCAAGAACTCTGACTGGACAAGGGTGGCAACTCGTCAAACATTCCCATGATGGATTGACTGACGAGACCTGACAAGGCTGCTTTAGAGGTGCTATTGATGCCTAGGATGATCTATATATAGACCTTTGGGCTGTGACCAGGCTCCTAGGAGTTACAGGTTCGCTTTCCATCACCAGGTTGGTGGCCAGGAGTGTAGGACACATGTTGAAGACACCTCCAAATTGCGATGTGAACCGTTCTATCATCCGGTCATCCATATGATTTTCCTACTGTATATCAATCTGTTTGGATACTTGGGAAGATCGTTGGTTCATCCTCCCACTCTTGCAAGGTACAGCACCTCGACGACCCCGAGGCAGGTGCATCGTGCGATTTGGTAAGGCCTTGTAGCTGCCAGGAAACTACTTGGCTCAATGCCCCAAGCGCGACTCCGATTTGCAAGATTTCTTGAATCCTTCACTGAACCCTTGCAATCACAAAAGGGGCGCCCTGCTCTTGGCGGCACATCAATGCGGGAACGTTCGAGGATGCTCCCTGAGCCCAACGGACCATTGTTCGGTCAAACTGGAGGACTCCCCGTGGAGCTGGAGACAACCTTGCATGTGTTTCCTTGTTTGGACCACAAAAAGTTAAAACCTGTTTGATCACTGTTGTACTTGTGCTTTCTAGCTGCAAGTTCATACAAACAGCTGCAAAATATTGCAGTTGTGTCATTTGAATCCACACAGGATCAAATGTGCAGAATCATGTTTGGATCAAAGGAATTCACTGCGCTCAACGCGAGCTGTTAATACAGTATGCAGTGACAGCTATTGCGTGGGCGCTTTTGACTGTCCATCAATTAACAACTGACATAAAAGAGAAAAAAGCACGTTGATATTCCTTTGCCTCCGAATGACAAGACGCCCCCAGTCGCCTCCATGTTGCAAAACGGAGCCACAGAACTCCCCGGCTGAAAGTGCGCAAAGATTCGGCAAGACATAGAGGTAAGAGGGACCAAATTGGGATTTCTTAGCTTGCGTATTGGTGGCATGACTCATTCACTGATAGACTTGAACAACTTTAGTAAGACAGAGAGTTGCAAAAGAACGACTCCAAGACTCTGGGGCAGAAAAGCAGAAGTTGGAAAGGCGGGCTTGTCACCCTTATTCCAATCAACTTGGATAAGTTCAGAAGGTAGTTGAAGTGTCTCAATCGTTCTGACTGTGCAGAACGTCCAAGCTGCACTAAAAACCAGGCTTGGGTGGTTTCTTAGAGGGCAATTCTTGATCTTAGGGAAAGTGGCCAAAACTCCGACAAGCCACAGAAAGCGTTGTCCCATTTTCTAACATGCTCGAAAGCAACAGGGGTTGGTTGGGTTGGGTTGGTTCTGCATGGGTGCAATGCATTCCATAGGAAAATATAGGTTTCTTGGAAGAGAAGGAACTGAACCAGAAGTGTCCAGACAAATTCCACTCCAAATAGCAGATAACTAACCTAATTGACAGTGAACCTGAGGTTATATATGCCATAATACTTGCGATCATCTGACAGGTTTGATGTTCAAGGCTCATTGAACAACCCGCCCCGAAGGTGTTGGTCTTACCAACTGTCACCTCCTCCGGTCCGACAGGTTCAACCGACAGGTCCGCACGTCCCAAGACATCTGAAGCGCAGAAGCAGGTCCGTGGCCCGCAGGTCGTGGGAATTCGTTTGGACTGGGACACTACAGTGTCACCAATTACAGCACTCCCCCTTGCTGAAATTGCTGAAGTGAACAACCGGAGATGGAGGGCTGCGAAGACAAGCTAGTCCAGGGGATCTTGGCCGATTTGCGAACACCAGGACCTTCAGCTGCGGTCGATGGATGTCGATGGATTCTGTTGAGTCCCAGAGGTATTTTCGCGTCAGTTTGAAACTCCGCCCTATTGGTGCACAAAAGGAGGTTGTCCACTTCCATGACTTTCGGATGGCTGCATGGTATTGGAATCCATGAAACAGTTCAACGCCAGTTTCACCATGAAGCCAACTAGAGCATCTCTCGCCGTCTGGCGGGTTTAGAGAGTTTCACAGGTCGAATGGTGGGCCAAGTCATCGCTGTTCGACTCCAGTCCTCCGTCGGGACCGTTCTTCGCCTGTTGAACGGAGGCGGCGGAACTGAAGGCGAAGCAACGCGTGTCTGCATCGGCGCGGAAGAAGAAGCGTCCACCCTTGCCCATGTGGAAATCACAACCGAAAGTGGAGCCGGGGCCCAAGTTTCGCAGGTGGAAGCGGGCGGGATCTTGGAATTGGATGGAAGTTCGAGAAGCCTGGCAATGGGTCTTAGGCATCAGCATCGGCGGTGGTGACTCTTGTTTACCATCAATTTTGAGGCTGATTGAACCACCCACATGAACCGAAGGGGGAAATCCCAGCTGGATCAACTCTCAGCATCAGTCATCGTTTGGCGCGAAGACGTGCCGCAGACCACTGGACGGGAAATGTGCCAAATAAAATCCAAATAAAAATAGTTGTCATGAGTTTAACTGGTTTGTTCACTGACTACTGGCTGAGTTGAACAGCACTGGACACGGAAATTGAGTTACCCTGAGTTACCTGAGTTGATGTTTGTGTGTTTGTTCTTTCCTTGATTGTCTTTATGCGAGATGCCCTCCGACCATTTGTTGACGTTCGAACCGCACGAATATTCGAACCCAGGTGGCGCGTGGGATGCAAAGACCCCTTTGTACAAGATTGGGGTTGCACAGGGCAGCGGCAGGTTGCCCTTTTGATATTAGGAGGCCGATCATTTTCGTTTCTGGTAGGACCAGAGCAAGTCACCAGTGAAAGGCAAGCCAGTCATCGTTGACATGGCGGACATCATGGCGCCAGATGTGTGGGTTTGCCTCCGGTCCGAGACCCACATGGGTTTGTCTCAGCCAGATGAAACCTCCAAAACGGAGAACAAAAATGAACAGATGAGATCTCAGGCATCTCCCAAAACGGTCCAAACAGACAGCGCGACAGCGCCGCCGCCCATACGGCTAGGCGGTCTGAGCAAAAGAAGGAGCCAGTCTGGCTGAAAGCCAGTGTGAAGATTGGGAACCCCAGATCCGTATTGGTTTCCATTGGTCACATTGTGTCACATCAGGTTTCTCAAGTCCCAATAGACAATTGCAATAGATTTGGGGAATGAAGAATGGCACTCGTTTTCTGCAGCACCGAAAGACACACCAGCAGCAAAAATACATTCCATTCCATTCCATTCCATTCCACTACATTCCATTACCTTACCTTACCTTACCCTACCTCTTACCATAACTTACGTACATATATATATGTATGTATGTATATGTAGACATACATACATACATACACACACATACACATACACATACACATACATACATATACATACATATACATACACATACATACATATACATACATATACATACATATACATACATATACATACATATACATACATACATACATACATACATACACAGACATACACAGACATACACATACATACATATACATACAAATACATACGTATACATACAGATACATGCATATACATACATATACATACATATACATGCCTATACATACATATACATACATACAAACATACATACATACATACATACATACATACATACATACATACATACATACA